TCTTGCGATCACGAAAACTTATTTCATATTTTTCATTACTTATTATTAGTTATGCGAAATTTCATCTCCTATTTCACCCCTTCTCAAGCTTTATGCAACAAAATGTAGCCTGTCAGGTCTAATCTCAATACATAATTGTATGCCGAAGTACCTATTTTTTCTTCTTCTATTTTCCAAGGTTAAAACTTTATTTATTTACAGTTATTTACAATTAATTTACAATGAACTAAAAATACATAATACGATATATGCCTATCATACAGAAAGAGTTACGTTCGCATTTGTAATATTAAACTAGATACAGTCGTGATAAAAATATATAGTTAGTGATCAAAACGATATTTAAACTAGGTATAATAGTAATAGTACTCGTATTAGATAATATTGAGTAAGTATTGAGTAATTAGGAACTAATAAGATTCCTCTTTACTTAGGTAATTAATTGGAGAAAGCGATGTACCGATTATAAATCCTGTCAGTATTTTAAATAATATTTATTGCTATTTTTGAAACAACACTTCTGTTATTTGTTTAGATTACCTAACATCGAACATACTTGTAATAAAAATAATAAGATTATAATAAATAAGCTGTTTAATTAACATTCTATCAATTTAATTATCCCTAAAATTCGAGATCAAGTACGGCTTCATTGGGGACAAAAGTATCAAATACCCTTCCCCAAGCTTCAAGTTTCATCAAATTGGTTCAGTAATTAACGCCTGAAAATGGGGCTTAACGGAACCAACTCATCTAAATCTATCTATATTATGAATACTTTAATTAGTGACACCTACACAAATTATTTGTGTTATGCAATAAAATTTACAAATAAATATGGAAAGATTAAGCTTGGAACCTCACTGAAGTTTTTCGAAGAAGTGGTAGTAGAGTAGACTGACCATATGTGTCGCATATCCATTAAAAGATGGAATAAACGGGCCCTCGAATGAAGACCAGACTCAGCAAACGCGGTATAGGATGCTCCACTGCTGAAAGGACCAAAACTTCAAAAAGCTTGCAATTTTTGAATGAAAAATTTGTGCTTTATGGTTTCTTTCCATCAGTGGTCTGCAATTAACTGAAATCATGAAGATGGTGTAATTTATTTCCAAATTCAAACCATTCACCTAGAAATAGACCATTAAAATCAAGTAAACATAGGTTGGAAATCCATTCAGTGTCGTAACTATCAGTCAAGTGAACAGGTGATTTTAGGTCGCCGTCTATGCAACAAATACAATCGAGTCACGAAAATCTATTCACTTGCCATTAAACTTGGCCAAATTGTTTGAACCGACGACCTTACTTTCCAATTGAGACCTACACCAAGGAATAAATTTAATAATAGGCGAACGTAACCTACACACGATTTGTGAATCCTCTCTGTTTGCTTTTAGCAGATTTATTCAATATCATTAAACATCATGGTCTGTACTCATCTTGGTTGCTCGAATATTCTTAGCCTGTTTTACATGTCCATCACTATTATATCTCTCTAAATAAACAACAATAATAACTGTCACAATAATCTTCTTCATCTTCTTCTTTGTTTCGCTCTTGGCGGAATGGTCGTGGCCACGTTAAGGCGTTCCCATCGGTTGTAGAGGCTGATACAGCTCTCCGCACGTCACTACAATCACCTATCTTCATAGTTAAATATGTACATATCTTACCCATGGAACATTTAGTTATGATGTTAGTAATATCGATATAATGTCATGATAATAAGATCATCTATATCGTCTTGTTTATGCCGCCATCCCTGGAGGATTCTAAGAAGAAGAAAAGAAGTAACCTCCTCAAATTAAGATAGGTAATCAATTTGCAGCCTAGTCCGCTGCACTTAGCAACCGTGTTACACAACTCATTATCGCTAGTCTCTTGCACAATCGAGTTGGCACTACAAGCTCTGTTTAACCTTAATTATCGCGGAAAGAACATAATGTGCGACGATGCTCTGAACACAATAACAGCAACAACATACAAAGAAACATCATATCAAACGACAGACGACTATCATTCAAAAGAACAGCTTATTACAGACTGATGATGTTTCTGAAGAAACTCTTTTAATTAATGGACTCTATCGTATCTATACCGCGGAAAGAAATTCTTGCCCTGGGTTGCAACGTACAAAAACATTGGTTAAAGTTATAGCTAACCTTATTGTTTGACTTATCCCTGTACTTTTCTTATACTAACCTATGTAGATGATGCCTGTACTGTGTTAACGCTATCGATAATACTTACGCAGAAACCATTCAACCCACCTGTACTTAGGTTAGGTAACTAGTATTGTACGCTTTTTGGGACTGCTATATGTATAGTAACTAGTGCTTCGTTATTTTATAAAATAAACTAATTCTAATTTAACACCTGTCTTGTCTCCTATGAAGGGTTCATTGTTATTGCAAGGGGTGTGTGGGAGTTGAAATACCCTAAAACACCGACAGGTGGCGATTCAGAACAAATTACAAAAAAAATACAACAATTAACAGTTATTACTTAAAATACACGTGGATAATTAAACATAAGACAGCATAATTGCATGATAGTGTAAAATTACGTTAACAGTGAACTGTTCAAGGAAGTAAGGATTTAAATTGTTCAAATACCGTTAGAAAGTCTACGCATGCGTAGTACCGCAGTGCGCGGGCGCCGCCTCTGCCCGTTAGCGGATTAAAACATTGCCCTCATTTTTGTTGATATCGGATAAAGTGAGATACACGCAAAAAAAAGATTTTGACTGAGAAATACCTTTTCATTATAGCATTTATTGCATAGGGTTATAAAATAATACTACGGATACTTATTTATTTATGTTGTGAGTTGTTTAAGAATTTTAAACATTAGGTACAGTTTTTGTATCGATAATAAAGTGTAAATAATGATATACCTACTACAATACATACATTATTATGTGCATCGTATGTATTAAAAACTCTCCTTTCTCTCAAACGCACAGTTTTTCAGGTGTATTATTTACACAGAAGTTGTGTTAGAATTTATACTTTGAAGAGGTTGTAATAGAGTGGGAATTTGTTCTTCAATGACCAGTGTCAGTAGCTGTATGACTAATATATCATGTTACGTCAGCTTCTGATAACAATTGAGAAAAGTACAGTAGGTTAACTGTTAATAATAACCGATACCTTGAAAAAACTAGCATTTAAATAAAGTATGTGACTTGGCCATTTCGTTACGGAATTATTCCCACCTGTAACTCCTGTGTAGCCAGGATTTACAGCTTCACTGTCAAATATAAAGCCAACCAGTGAAGGTCAAGTTTGTCCCGGGGGAAAGTTAAACTGTCATTGGACCCGCAACGAAATTAAGAACACAAGAACATAGGAGGAGTTCGAGGTTAAGGTTCAATTTCCCTCCAGTACAAAACGAACGACAGGTAAAACAAAGGTATAACAGAATTAAAGGTAATGATCAGTTAGAAGATAGCGAAACGACAGTGCACATAATATTTTATCTAAAGTGTAGAGTTTGTTTAGTAGGGCGTTTTATGATAGTCTTGGCTCTACATGATAAATTTTTCACAATAAGAGCGAGCGATTCTTCTTGGCAACATTTTCCATGAAAATGTGTTTGGTGGGATTTATTTCTCGTAACATGCATTATTAAAGCTCTATAACCTTTGATTTTTACATACTCTACTGTAAGCGGATATCTGAAACAATTATTTTAAGACTTTTTAATAAAATTAGTTCAACTAATGTAGAGACTACTGTGTCTACATTAGTTGTGTTTTGATCATAAACTGGAGAAAGTATCTTTGTGTTATTCAAATGGAGTTTTGTTATTGATGGATGATAATTAAAAAATCTTAATCGCACCTAAAGTCTGGACAGCAAATTACATAAATAATTCATTAATTTCACACGAATCGTACGATAATATGTTAATATTCTACAACTTATAAATAAACAAAGTAATAAAATCGTAGCATCTACTTCTAAATTAAGTCACTTTTTATTTTGACGATCAGGTTCAATTAATTCAATGAATTAGTCAATAAATTATGTATAAAAATAACTTGAATGAATTTTCATGAAATTCGACATACATTATTTATTAAATGTGACAAGTACATTACATTTTTATATTATACCTACCTAATTAAGATATTTAAAAGTCAAACATACTCTCACAAATTGAGGAATTTTAATTAATACCTACAGTATACCGATAAAACATATTAATTGTCTATTATGTATATTCAGCTCGTTAAAAAATATTTTGCATATTCACACGGCTTCATTTGTTAAAAACTATTCAATATTGTGTTGAATATAACTTGTGTGGGACCAAAACATTGTCATCTCGTAAAAAGAGCCTTGCCATATTTTCTGGTAGTGCTGGAAGAGTATTGTAAATATGTTTTTTCAGTTTTTCCTTTATTCAGTGTGGACATAATTATAAAAAATCTTCTGCTTACGTTTTTTCTTGCGTGGATATCAATAATTTGTCAAAGGACGATTTTATTGCGAGTCCCAGGAGCAAAAACCAAAACACTAGTATTATATTATCTGTGCCAAAACTTTGATTAGGTGGGTACGCCACGTTCTTTTATACAGGGTGTTAGGTAAATGGGTATATGAGCCGACACTAGCCCATGTTAACATGGTTATATAAATGGTATGGTGAAGTCAGAAATTTGATAACATCATTTTATTTTTTTTAATTTTCGTACAAAATAAATTTTATAAAAACCGAATTGTATGAAAATTAAAATAATTAAAATAAAGATATCAATTTTCTGACTTCACCATACCATTTATATGACCATGTTAACATGGGCTAGTGTCGGCTCATATACCCATTTACCTAACACCCTGTATAGGCTAAAAAAGCTAACCTATGCGTAAGCGTCTCTTAAGTCACAGAGAACGAGAACATACTCCCCTTTACCTCTCCTTTACGAGCTTTCTACAAAGCAATTATAATTCCTATGTCTCAGTTAATAAAGTACAATCTCCTTGTTGCAGGTGAAACTGGCAGCACACACGCGTTGTACCTGGAGACGATAGTGGAGGAGACGAGCGATGACCTGCGCTCCGAGCGCTCCTCGGCCGCCACCTGGCTCTCAGATTCTGACGCGGACTCCGTTATACACGTGCGAGGAGCCGCTGGTGAGATCTTATTCCATGATTTTTGAAGAAACTATAGTGGCCTAGTGCCCGTTTTCAGTCTACAGTTGCCGCGAATACTCGCTATTATTCGGTATTCGGCATTACTCGACATTTTTTTGATATTCGTCGAATACCGAATAATAGCTAATAGTATTATTCGGCATTCGGCGAATAGTCATTTAAAATAAACTTTTAGTGAACAAAAAAGTAACGAGTTAAAAATAATCATATTTTTATTATTTTCCCTAATAAAACAATACACAATATCAATTATTATTTGTAATAGTTATGTACCTGTGCCTATCATATTCATGAAATTAACCCTCCGTGTACCAGGTGACTAAAAGTTACGTCCCGTACCAGGTGGGGGTATGACATACCCTAATAAACAAATAAAAAAAAAATTATTAGTAAAAATTATAAGTATTATTTACGTATGCTTATTAGGTTTAAGAAAATATCTGAGCTGAAAATATGTATTTTAACATTTTTATCATAAAAAAAAACAAAAAGACACAATTTCCGTTGTTCTTGTAATTTAGGAATCAGTTTCTTATGTATAATTTATAATTAGTGCCTCTAATTATGACAACCGTTTTTATTTAACAAAGTACAAGATATTAATGTACTTATAATTTAAAAGTAAATTAGAAACGACGACATCGTAAAGGTAGTCGACATGGAAAGCATTGGGGGAGGCCTATGTTCAGCAGTGGACGTCCTATGGCTGAAATGATGATGATGATGAAATTAAAAACTGGAATTACATTTATTTTAAACATCGGTTTTCTATTTACCACAATATTCTGATGAAAGAAAATGAGTATGCTCAATGCATAAAATGGGAGCGTAACAATTTCATAAGTAGGTATGTATAACATGAAACAGATTTCTTTAACTTTATTGTTTTCTTTTCTCACAACCTTAGAAGAAATTAGAAATAATTTTTTTTTTTATGTCGAATAGTAATGTCGAGTTATTCGACTATTCGCCAAAGTGAATGGCGAATAATCGGTATTCGACTATTCGCTATAACCACTATTCGCGGCAACTCTAGTTTTCACTATCTATCCCTATTTTTAAGTGGCCTTTATGAAAACAAAATTCTTGTAATGTGTTAGCTACCATAGGGGTCACTTAAAAATTAGGGATTGATGGTGAAAACGGACATGAGTCTAATTACTCATTTTATAATAGGCTAGAATGAGAACAACCTTCTGCCTGGCCCGGTCCTGGCGGTCCGGGTGATTTCAGGAGTTTTAAATTCCACAATAAATTTTTAAGTATCGTTTTCAAAATAGGTACCTTCTACTAGGAATATAGTTTGTAAACTTTATGAATAAAAAAATAAAATAGAGCCATTTTTTTAAACTAAAAGCTAACAGCGCCATCTAGTATAACGCATCCGAACTACGTTCAGTAGCAAAGCACCTGACTTAGCATGCTTGTATGCGCCATTCACTCTGCTCAAGTAAACGCTTAAGTCTAAACTAAGCAACATAGATGGCGCTAAACCCTAGTTTTAATGTTTAGTTTGTGGAGGTAGAGTCGATTTATATTTTCGGCTCTTGTCTTTGATGATGGTGGTTATAGTATTTTCAATGCTGTGATTTATGCATGCTAACACTATGTAAATAATGATTCTAATGAGATGACGTTATTGGTTTCGTGAAGCAATTTTTTGGCAGCAACAATGCGATGCGATCACAAATCTTGGACTTGATCCAAAATAGAACAACCGCGCGTTACATTTAGTGTCACTGTCATTACCGACGTCACAGCCGACGCACTCCTGAACAATATTACTGCAAACAGAAAGAAGTAACCGAATCAAACATTTTCAGCAGGGTCAGAGGACAGCGAATCGGAGCGAGAATGGGCTTGCCCGGCGAAGCGGCGGCGGCGGGAGCGCGCCTCCTCGCCCGCCAGCTCGGGCTCCCTCTCGCGCTCCTCCAGCCTAGCGCAGTTTGAGTCCCTCGAGCGCTCCTGCGCCGCGCCCGCCTCGCCCAGCCTGTCGCCCGACTCGCTGGAGTCGCCGCCCGCCTCCCCGCCGCCGGCGCGCGCTGTCGCGCCGCGGACGCATCTCTCCGCGGAGAACCTCAGCGAGGACAGCGGCTACAGTGAACGCTCTCGGCGACCCCCGCCCGCGCAGCGCCGCCCGCCCGAAATAGCGCACCGGCCGCCCGCCGCCGGCAGCGTGCCCTGCCTCGCGTCGCCCAGTGCCGAGCGCCGCCCGTGCCGCGCCGCGCGCGCCCTCTCGCTGCCCGCCGAGCTCGACGTGTGCGCCGAGCCGCGCCGCCACGTGCCCGCGCACCGGGCGCACTTCCGCCAGACGTTCGAAGTCAGCGACAGCCTCACGGTCAGCGTGGCCGACCTGACCGCGCTGGACTACCGCGGCGGCCCGCGCCGCCCGCGCCTGCCGCCGCCGCCGCCGCCTCCGCCGCGAACCCGGCGCGACCCACCCCCGCCGCCGCCGCCCGTCGATGTCGTCGTGCGGCAGCCCGCCGCGTCGCCGGCCCGCGAGCCGAGCGCCGGAAGCGACTCCACCACCGAATCCGAACTCGCGTTCGCGCGCGAAATGGAAACCACCGCGCGACAACTCGACGAGACCGCGAGGCGGGCGCTCGCGGAGAGCGGCGATTTCGATCGCGAACTGTCAGTGTTAACCGCGAGACGACTCCGGGACTCGTGGGGCGTCTGGGACGACGTCCTCGACGAGCTGCGACGACGGATGGAACCCCAGTCGGCGACGCCCTCCCCGCCTCGAACGCCATCCCCGGACCCCATCCGGGAGCCCTCGTTCACGTCGACGCCGCTGCGAGCGGGCGACGCGCGAGTGCGGTCCACCCCCGAGCTGCGAGCGCGCGCCACGCCGCAGCGCGAGACGCCGGAGGAGCTCCGGGCGTCGCTCCAGCTCGTAGCGCCGCCGCCGCCGGGCGCCACGCCGCCCGTCCGCTCGATCTCGGCGGGCTCGAAGGGGGTCACGTTCTCGCCCGTGGTGGCGGAGGTCAGCTGGCGCGAGACGAGCGCGAGCACCACGGAGAGCGAGACGACCGCGAGCGACGACGCGGCGGACGCGGAGGTGGAGGTGGTGGGGGCGGCGCAGGCGCGCGCGCCGGCCGCAGAGCGCGCTGCCGCCATGACCGACGCGGGCGCGCGCGCGCCGCGCAGCCGCATCGCCGGCTTCCTGTCGAGGTTCGCGAACTTCAGGTTTTCGGGGCGCAAGGAGAAAAAGTGTCGGGGCGCAGGCGCGAACGGGAGGGCGGTCGGGAGCGCGCCGCCGGCGGCAGACGCGGGGCAGGCTCCGCGCGCGGCGGCCGCCGGGCCGCAGTATGTGCGCATCCCGCTGAAGGAGGAGGGCGTGTCGCGGGCCGCGGGCCCCCCGGCGCCGGGCGGCGTGGCGCACAAGCCGCCGCGGCCGCGCCCGCCGCCCGCGCCGGCGCCCGGCGTGCTGGAGACGGACGTGGACACGCAGCGCACGGTGCTGCACGCGCGCTCGCTGCTGGCGCTGGCGCCGCCGGACCAGCGCGCCCCTCGCCCGCACAAGTCTATGGAGTTCCTTCTCGACAAGGACAGCGCGCAGACAGTACAGGTGAGTCGCTTTTCTCGGTATTATTCGCTGCCGGCCTGTCTTTCGCAATGTTTACAAACAGCGCGATCGATGCCGGCCGACGACCCGCGCGTCTTTGCGACAGCTTAATATGTATTTCTACATTTCACACGCCAGATGCCTTCGGCGAAAGCGCCGCCTAGATCACGTGCGGCAAAAGTACGTGCTTTTGAAACCGCAATGGTGTCTCTATTACAAATAATGCAATAGGAAATCGTTGTTAGCGTGTCGTTGAACCCTCGAACGTAACAGCTGTCATGGGGCATGAAATAGATAACGTAATAAGCTCGAGCGGCTAAGTCCCGAGAGGGTCAATTACGCCACCGCGTTCACACGCATTAGCACAGGGCGGAGGTGAAAGTGCGCACATCTGCACCGCATTGTGGCCGCCATATCCGTCACGCGGTGGGCGTAACTGTAGTTTTATCAAAGCATGCGCGCTATAATTGCGACTGCTATCGACTGCGCCGGGCCCCAGCACAGGAATCCCGACCTTAAGTCTGGGACCTAGCCCTGAGCTATGCGTCACAGCTGTTAGAAATCCCATTGTTAGATAATCACACAAGCGCAGACAGTGATTTATAAAAACTGGGAGCTGAATGGCTTTCGGATTAGATAACAAAAAGCCCTTAACAATTGAATGGAGGCGACGTAGGAGCCGCCGGTAATAAAAACGCTTCCAATTAACGAATCATTTGTTCTTATTTTGTGCACAATGCACGATAATGGAGACAAGAATGACTGGTGACTACCTTGAAACGAGTCATTATCTGCCTTTGGTGTCTTTGATGTTGGCGTGGACTATGTTTGCCTTTACGAACAAAAGACTGATATTTTTTTCTATAAAAGTTCCCACGGTAAAATAGTTACCGTTTGAAATAATGTCCAACAATTTGTGGGGTCCCTTAGACGAAGATTGTCGTACGTAGATGGCCTCAATTGTAATGGTAATAAATGGTTATCCTTGTATCGCATACTGGGTGTCACCTATGAAATATTAATCAGATAAACACGATTGCAGTTCTGATGTCATTCTTGCTGCGAATAGCTTATTTGATCATCTAATGACATTTGCAGTATGCATTTACAAGTCAATAAGGAAGAAAAATAACATCGGTTTGTTTACAACTAACGCTTCGAAATCAATTACCTACCGGTGTCATTTTTTGCCAAATTAACCTTTATCATTGTTAAATAAAAGTAAAAGAACCGATGATATAGCTAAAAATCGTTAACAGAAATGTAGAGTCACAAATATTATAAAAGAAGTTGATGTCTAAATAAGTTTTTATTGATAGGAATGTAAAGACATCACTTTATCAAGGCAAAACACATTACTTCATTTCATTTCATACCTATACCACACAAAACCTGTAAATTAAAGAAACTCTAACAGCAAAATTAAGCAGTAATATCAAATAATAAATACAAATGTAACAAACTTTTATCCTTTCTATATCATTTACAGACAGAAACACACGCGCTAAACTACAACGCTATGAATACGTACGAGTTTAACAAAACATTGCATGTCAACTTTACTGTTTTTGCCTACATAGTTCAACACCTAGACTTTCTAGGTTAGCCCATTCAAGTATTCCATACAACTCTTGTCTCGGCCATTGGCCATGACCAAATTTGTACAATTTGGCCTCGAGTAGTGTTATGTCAAGTTATTTCATAATAAGTAGTTAAATATCTACTCAAGTGGAATGAAGAACACCGTTTTCTATTTTTTAATCAATTATTGACATAAAAAGTAAGGTCAATAGAATAATGGTAGGTAATTATTATTACAAAAACTGCCTAAACCCCATTGTCTGTCATTGTAGAGACATCGGGTAAATATTGACTAAGATTTTTTTGCTCTTCAGTTTCAAATTTCGTAAAAATGCTCACGTGCTTCACATTTCATCGTATTCTTTTTAACTATGTAATTAGGAATTTTTGATTTCGACTTAATTACGTATCCTTCAAAAACATAATTATTAGGTACGCCTATAATTATTCATGCTTATTCAAATTGATAACATGGAATTTGTCACCAATGCTACTACCTACCTATTCGTCATTTACACAGTACCTACTTCAAAATGAGCTATAGCCAATTAATTATTATGAGTATTAAAATTGAATAACGTACTGAATGATTTACCTATCCAATAGGTGCAGTATCGGCTGATAGAATTCTTTTAATCCAGGAATAGCTTGTGTTTTCTTTTCATAGAATTCCTGAAATCCTGACTCATGCTCTAAAATAACACGTGACCTAAGAGTACCATCAATGCAAAAATTTACTCTTCAATAATAATATTATATCAGTAAAATAAGCACCGAATGGAATCTGTTTGAAGTCGATTGATTTATAGTCGACTTTGAATCGAGATTTTAGCTCTACTACCCACTCTCTCTTCAATTCACTTTGCTGACTCGCAGTGAGATATTCGCGAAATCTTAGACTCTACATTGGTATTTGATTTCCATGCAATACACAGAAAATCATCAGCTATAATATGGCAAATTACTTAACTTTATTAAGTAAGAGATAAATACTCGTATGTTGTTTCGATCAAGTCTTATGAGACTTAAACTAAGTTATAACTTTAATGATCACAAAACATGTCAGTAACATAATTATTTTGCTATTAAGCTTTTAACAAGCTCATTTGCGCGACTCTACATAATTTAACCCTATAACGGCTTCGAGAAAAACTACGTGCTGAGAAAAAGCAAAATCAGTCACCATTGTCAGTCTTTTTGAAACTGCTGATATGCGTGTTTGGTAGTTTCCACGTTGATTGGTCTCTTGCAATATTCTTCGCCTTTAAATAAGCACAAATAAAAGAAGAAAGCTGCATCATTGGATTAAAATTTAAACCAGGCTATGCCTAAGTCTGCGCGCGCGCACATTGTAAACAAATGCGGTAGAGAGAGTGCGCTTCATCGGAATGCTTAGCATATTGAAGGTTTCATACAATATTGTGTGTGGTATTTATGACTACTATTTTGCATACTGGTCTTGGGTGTCTTCTATTCACTGTAGGCTTGAGTTGACACACATAGTCAATTTAATGCTGTGCGCAATTTACATTAGCATTCATAATAGCATGAATCACATAAACGTTTACTTCGAGTCTTCCTTGTAAATGATATTACTGAGTAGGTTAATCTGTTTTGTAATTTAATGAAGCGTAATGTTTGTAGGAGGTAATCCTGACCATAAATTCTGATATTAAACTCATAGATTGTTATACAGGGTGTCTCAAAAAGTCCTGTATGTTGTAAAAAAATAACTCGAAAACTATCGAAAATCATGGTGCTTTGGATAGCCCTAGTGATGCTCTACCTCTGGGCTTCGGCTTGACACTACTTTTTGGGACACCCTGTATAGTGATCCAGTAGCGTTAAGGCTAACTCGACTAGGAAATTTTGAAGTTCATTCTCAGATGGGACTAAACTAGTGTACCTACCTATTCTTTGCAAATAAATTCTTTGACTTTGACACTCATAGTTAATTAATATTAAAATTCAGTTAAGACTCCCCAACTTATATTGCTTTTAGTTTCTTGCTTCGATTCTAATTAAAATGTCAAATGTCGATAACGGCTCATAAAACCTGAAGTCAAGGTTGTAACTCCAGTTAATTAAAACTCACCTGAAATACTTACTACTAAATAAATGTTCACTTTTTGTTAACATTGTTGTACTAATTAGCGTCTTCAACAGATTTCAATTCATATCATCTAAATTAGTGAATTTTTTGAATTATGGAAATATGAAGTTTACGTCATCAGGAAAATTTTACATTTATTAAATAACTTTCCTTACTTACAATGAAATAAATCATAGTACTTAGGTATATTAATCTCATTTACTACATTAGCATAAATCCTAGCATGTAATTGTAAGGTATGCTCACAATATAATTCTGCGCATTACTACAAACAACCGGTTAGGTTCTGCACTTCTGGCCTTGTATTGTAAACAAATTGTTGCAACTAACGTCGTTAGGGTCAATACGCACACATCCTTCGCCATCTGACATTATAACCACTTGAACTGCAAAAACATTGCAATTGCGTAGTCGTTAAGTTTTTACGAGATGAAAAACAGTATGAGGTGTTATAATACGTTTGTAGTAGCTAATTGTTATTGGTTTCTACACAAACAGGCACTAAATTAGTATAAGATTAAACCTAATGTTCCTTTTAACAAAACTTTTAAATACTCAACTGCAACTCATCAGAATTGACTCATAGTCATAACTATCATAATCATAACTAGGTTTAATTAATGTTTAATTCCGTGATAAAAAAATTAATGATTTTTGGCATTTGGCCTGGGAAAGGAAAGGCAATTTTTGTGGCAAAAAACATCACAAAATGCTATACTAATATACGGATAATATTTACTATACACGGAAGAATGTTCAGAAATACGATGTGTGTCATTCAGAGATTTGAATATAACAGCAGAGGTGACCCTCTTTCCTCTTAACGAAAAAAAAATACTCATTGTCTTTGTTCGGAATTTTTAATTAACATTTACAAAGCTTTACGTCATTAGTTGTAAAAACTCCGCGCCGTAGAACCGTGTTCTTCTTAAATAACAAAATCTTTTAATTGGCTATTGTTTGATATAATTACAATGAAGTTATTCAAAGGTCTGCGAAGGAATGTGTCGGAAGAAACTGTCCTCAACGCGAGAGAAAAGGTATTTAGTTAGTTTTATTGCAAGCATTTATGGCACTGGATGGTTAAGTTAGACTTTAGACTTTCTATTTGGAGGTTAGGTTTAGATGTATTTAAGAGCAATCACTTACCATTTTATTTAATTTAACTTTCCCCCGGAACAAACTTGACCTTCACTGGTTGGGTTTTTATTGGCGGTCAAGCTGTAGATCCTGGCTACACAGGACTAGAAGTTGCAGTGGTGGGAAAGGGAGGTGGTTTTACTATTTTATAATACCTACATATTTTCAA